TACTCATTTTACCAGAAACATTATCTTGAACACAAATGGACTGATGAAGTTAATGCATTTCCATTCTGCAGTCTAGCAAAATAACTTCTAGTATCCAAGAGCTCTAATTTTAACTGAAACTTAAATCAAGAAATTGCCTCTAAAAGAAATTAAATTTTCCCTACATCAATAGTTCTAAAGACCAAGAATATCAGGCATTAGGGCAGCCATGACACTTATAATGACAGATCAAATGAAAAACAACTAATGTGATTAAAATTATCCTTTACCTCATATGTTGCAAGTCGATCTAAGTAGGTTAATAATTTCAGTCTACAACGGCAAAGTTCCTTCTGTTCCAACGTCAACCTGTTTGGGATAATTGAATTAAGCCATTCATACAGAAGTATCTTCCTCCAGAAATTAAAGCACAATGAACACAACACTATATTGAGTCTGAAAATCATGGAACAGTATGTACAAGCGTAAGGGTAAGATAATATTAAAGGCATTAAAGCTGAAATAATTTAACATAATGTCACTGGTAAGGAATAGCCTGAAATAAGAAGTTACCTTAATGAAACCATCAACTGAGCAGTGAGAAGTCACCTACTTTGCAAAGCTCACGGATTTCAGCAGCGCCCGCCTCTTCTGGAGCTCCTTTTCCTTTCTCTCCTTCACTGACTCCTCAAGTGGGGAAAGCTCCTCATAAGAGATATTTTCAATGTCTACCTCGCCAGGTAATGTGAATCTGTACCCCCAAAAAAAGCATAACTGTTTTGTAAAATCACTCCTCCTTCTTTTTTTTTTTGACTGATTCAATGACTGATTTCTGCAGACAGAAACAACTAATTATTTAGGCCAATAAAAATTGTTGTCGTTATACACAAAGTGATTGGATTCATTATATTCAAAGACTTGGCAAAAAGTCCTCAAAAACAGTCACAGATAAAGAATTTTTTAAATTTTTATTTATTTAAGAGTTACAAAGAAGGAAAGAGAGAGAGACGGATTACCCATCGATGGTGGCTATGGTTGTGGCTGAAGCCAGGCCAGAGTAAAGTCAGAACCCAAACACTTCATCAGGATCTCCAAGAGGGTGCAAAGGCCCAAGCCTCTGGGCCAACCTCCTGTTTTCCCAGGTGTGAGAGCAGGGAGCTAGATCGGAAAAGAGCAGCCGGGACTGGAACCAGCGCTCCAAGCCCATACTGGCCCTGCAGGTGGCACCTTAACCCATTCACCACAATGCACACCCCACAGATAAAAATTATAATTCAAGAAAATGAGTTATTTAGGAAAAAACAAAAGGTTTTATTCACCTCACATAAGACTCTATGCAAAAATAAATAAATAAATAAAATAAAACGGCCAAAGTTTACAATTTGAATCATTTGTACTTATGGTCGTAACACAGTGAGTAATGTCACTCTCATCTAAATTATTTGTCAAGTACGTTAGCATATTTATATATCAACAGAATTTCCAAATGTCTATTGAGTAATGATGCTTAACAAAAAAAAGTTCGTATGTCACGATCTGACACTGGAAGGATGTTTGAAAGTTTACGAGGTGGGGCAAACACTGTAGTGTACCATGGTAAGTCACTGCCTGCGATAATGGCATCCTATCTGGCCACCTGTTCAAGTCCTGGGTGCTCACCTTCCGATGCAGCTCCCTGCTGATGTGCCTGTGAAAACCAGAGGAAAATGTCCCAAGTGCTTGGGTCCCTGCACTCATGTGGCAGATCCAGAAGAAGCTCCTGGCTTTTGGCATGACCCAACCTTGCCAGGCCTTTACAGCCATTTTGGGGAGTGAACCAAAAATTAGAATCTCTCTTTTGCTTTCTCTCTCTAATTATGTCTTTCAGATACACAAAGTAATTCATTAAAAGAAAAAAAAAAGTTCATGTGTTATTTTCACATAGTTTCAAGGTACATAGTTAAATCAATCCCAGAAGGTACATGAGGCTCAGAACCGCCTAAGATGGGTCTTTTAAACAGGAAGCCAATACAGCTAAGTGTCTCATATCCTCGTTTAGAACTAGTCGGTCTCGGAAAAGGTCTGCAGACCTCACTGTACCCTCAGCACCAAGCCAGCACCTGCAGTGCATTCAACAAGGAGCACTGAAGCATTGATCAACTTACAAATCACTTCCATATTAAATCCCTCTTTCTAAAACCAACCTGCCATCATCGGTGCCCGTCCCTATTGCTACGAGAGCCTCCAAGTCTGTGCCCTTCAACCCATATTGCAACAGTTCTTTTGCAGCATCCACATTTTCAGGAACTCTTTCCAAACATTCATGGAGAACCCAGGACCGCTTCTTTATTTTGCTCTAAAAGTAAACAAAATTGTAAAAAGGCATTAGTAGCCCATGCCACGTTAGAAGTTGAAAACCTGCCTTCTAGAGTCACAGAGCTAGCTGGAGGACTCATCCTTACTGCTGGAGAAGCTCCTTATCAAACAGCTCGTCCCCTAGAGAATCACAACTGCATTCAGGAAATGGATCCCAGCTGCTTCCTTTCTTCCTCTCATGAGCCACAGGGACACACAAAGTTCAACAGTCCTTTTTGAAAATAAAGACTTTCTTCTACATTCTCATAACTGCCTTTGATTTGCATTTTGGCTACACAACAGAGCAGAAAATAAAACAAAAAGATACATCACACTGTAATAAGCAGATTGAAGTCTGAAACAGTATCTGAAGCAGAGCACACTGAAGTGGTACGCTGCATCTACTTGTATCGAAGATGTATCATCACATGGTACCAATAAGTGATTCACAAAAGTATCAGTATGCTGTTGTTTGGAAAGGCCATGGCTTAGTGTTTGCCACAAATCCATTCACAATTCCCGATTTGCCCTCTTGGTAGCAAGAGCTTTTAGAAGCACAAACTGGAATGTGGATTTAATTCATACTTTATGTTCCTTTGTATATTTCGTCCTATCAATTCCTTAATCAGATGTTTCTGAGATCACTTTCCCCTTTCCACATCTGTAGTATTTTTAAAACTACAGTCTAAGTTACTAAAGAATAACAGCTGGACACTGAAGAAATCCCTTGTCCCTGGCAGTATATGCTACTACTACACACCTTTCTGACACATGTCCTACACATCCTGTCATGAAACACCGCTCAACAACTCCATGACTTACAAAGCCCCTTCATGCAGGAATGTGTACTGCATACCATTGAGTACCTGGCACTTACTAGGCTTGAAGACACAGCAGTGAGTAAGATGCAGTCAGGGCTGATGTCGTGGTACAGTTGACTAAGCCCATGCCTGCAACACTGGCAATCGCACTGTGGATCAGCAGGTTGAGTCCTGGCTGCTGTGCTTAAGCTCACTGCTCACATACCGGGTAAGCCGAGGAAGATGGCCCAAGTTCATGGACCCCTGCCATGCACATGGAAAGCACTGAAGTTTCTGGCTTGTGCCTTTGGCCTGGCTCAGCCACTGACTGTTGCAGTCATTTGGGAAATGAACCAATGGCTCAAAGACCTCTCGGGTCAATGCTCATCCCCTTTTAACTTGCTCACCATTAGTCATACTGAGAATACATTTGTCTCTGTTAACTATAGAACTACTTGTAATATCTTCACATTTATGCTTACAATATCTTTGCTACTGAAGCCATAAAGGAGCCTCAAGTCTACAATGATTGCTACCTTCACTGGGCTCCCTGTGTTGTCTGATGTCTTCTTGATAGTTATACGTATTGGAAGTGTGCAGCTCCTCTCTGCACTATCTAGGAGTAGAAGCAACATTTTGGCTACTCCTCTATCCCTTCATGATCCTACCGTAGTGCTTCCATTCCTCAATTGCTAATTAGTATATATTCCTTATTATCAGAAAGATTCTTGCCTTTGCATCTTTACCATTTAAAGTCTCTCCAGGAACTGCTCTTTCTTGTGTTCAAAAAAAAAAAAAAAACACCAAATAAATGGCCATACATAAACACAGTGCTCTATATTAGAAGAGAAAAAAGGAAGATAACAGATTTAGTATCCCAATTTTCTAAAGAAAGCAGAAAACAACTACAGTTTATCCTCTAGTTTCAGATTATATTTTTGTTTTGCATTACTTTTGTACACTTTTTTTCTCAAAATACCTTCTATTTTGTTGGATTTGTTTAAATTTTTTGAAAATGTATTTATATAAAGCGAATATACTTCATATATGCAGTTTTAAAGGAAAGCAATTATCATAAAATTGTCCCAATATTTAGTGCCTTCCTTGCTAAATATCAGATTAAAAATTGCTGTCCTTTAGAAGTATGTCATGAGGGGCCAGTGTGGTGGAACAGTAAGCTAATCTTTCACTCAGTAGTCCAGAATCCCACATGGGCGTAGATTGTGCCTGGGTCGCCCCACTTCCAATCTAGCTCTCCTCTCTCTTACAGCCTGGTGAAGCAGCAGCAAACAGGAGAATGCAAGACCTGGAAGAAGCTCCTGGCTGGCTTCCAGATTCAGATCAATTTAGTTCTGGCCATTGCAGCCATTTCAGGGAGTAAACAGGTGGATGAAAGATCTGTCAAATCTGCCTTTCAAACAAAAATAAGTGAATCTTTTTTTTTTTTTTAATATCCTCCATTCATTTGATTCACTCCCCAAGCAGCCACAACTGCTGGAGCTGAGCTGACCCGAAGTCAGGACCCTAGGACCTCTTCCAGGTCTCCCAAGCAGGTGCAGGGTCCCAAGGCTTTGAGCCGTCCTCAACTACTTTCCCAGGCCACAAGCAGGGAACTGGATGGAAAGCAGGGCAACTAGGATTAGAACTGGTGCCCAAATGGGATCCTGGCACATGCAAGGCAAGGACGTTACCCACTAGGCTAAAGTAAAATATAAAAATATAACTTTATATTAATTTTAATTTTTATATAAATATATGTAAAATATAACTAAATCTTAAAAAAAAAAGACATGAGTCCTATCACTTCCTTACCAAGACAGCAAGAATCAAAACATTCAGGTTGCTAATGAACTAAGCATATCCCCAAAAATTCCGATGCTGAAAACCTTGGCTCTTAATCAAGATCAGCAGTTTGCTGAAGCTATTGGTTTCAAGCAGAGCCTAAAGGAAATATCTTTCTCTGGTCTGGTAACCATTTCAGAACTTCACAAATGTAATAGTCAACTCATTAGAAAGAAGTACAATTTTGAAAAAGAGAAGAATGAAAAGAAAAAGAAAACCTAACCCTGAGGCTCACAGTATTCTGAGATGACTCTGTAAGAGTCCTTGTAAGGGACAGTTCTGTTCCTTCCCTCATCTTCCCACCCCGCTATCCATCAATGAAGACACAGGAAAAAGAAATTCACCTGTAACCTATGAAGAAGGTTCTCACTAGAAACTTAATGTGCCCCAGCACCTTGAACTTAAGACTTCTTGGCCTCTACAACTTTGAGAAAGAAATGCTTGTTTAAGCCACTTAGTCTGCATAAGACCTACTCGAATAAGATAGGCCATATAATAGCTCTAGCAATGGCAGGCAGGTAATAGGAAGGACTGAAGTAAACACAGGGTATATTATGAACTCTTAGATTCAACTTCCCCCTGAAAAAGCTGGGTGATGGCTTTCTTTTTTCAAGATTTGTTTGTAAATTTATTTGAAAGACAGAGTTACAGAGCAAAAGAAGGAGAGATAAAAAAGACAAAACTTCCATCCACTGGTTCTCTTTCCAAATGGCCACATCGCCAAGAGGAGCAGGGGGCCTCTTCTGGTCTCCTGTGGGACCCCTGAATCTCCACATACCTAGCCCGTATGGGAGGCCACAGACACATGTCACACTGTGCCCTTTCTTAAGAGACCCCAACATGGCCTGTTTCCTGGGCATGCAACAGGAGGGATGGGCTGCAGGCACCCCAAGAGTCTCCCCACGTGAATGGCAGAAACCTAAGGACTTGGGTCATCCACTGCTTTCCCAAGCATATCAGCTAATGTCCATATGGGATGCCAGCACCACAGGCAGCGGCTTAACATGGAACCACTGGGCTAGGCCCCCATGATCGCTTTCTCATTTGCATTTGCAGTGGATTCACTATCATGAAAGTACACTGGAGATCCATTGCAAAGCCAAAGGCTCTGCTTTCTAGTCCTGGTCCTCTGGCTTAGCAGCCAGAAAGGCACAATGCGGACATCTTGTGGGGTTTACTTGCCCTCTTCCTCCTGCTGTGCAAAGCCTTCCATGGAACTGCAGTGGTACTGCTGTGGACAGATTTCTTTCCAATTTCCCAAACTCTGGAAGAGAAGCCTCCCACACTGGTCCAGCCTAAAGGAGTGGGAAGATTTTTTTTGCCATTCCTCCCTGTGGCTCCCTTCTTATCTGCCAGTCTCATACCACTTGCATGCTGGTAGAAGGTTCCTGTTTTCAAGCTCTGATCTCAATCTCAGCTTCCTGATACCCTAGCAACAGGCATTCGGCTTCACTTTCCAGCCCATGTTTCCCAGTCTGCCAAACATGGACTAGGCAAGGCGACCCAGGAAACTTCTCTACCCAACGTGCTACAGTCATAGTCAGCACTTGTCTCGGGTGGTGTGAATCGCATTGTGGGGGAGATCTCCTTTCCAAGTTCATCCTCCCCATGGATATGTTCCTCCAGTCTAGTATATCACATAGAGTTCTTCCTACTCTCTTATGATTAAGCTCTGGTTCCGACAAAACAAGCCCGCATCCTGAAACCTTCCCAATGGGTTCTGACTGAGCCCTAAGTAAGGCAAGCACAGAGAGGCAACTGCGCTGCACCCGGGAAAAGGATTAAGTAAAACCAGGTAGTAATTGGCTGCTATCTGGGTGAAAACCAGATCACAGACTTCAGAATCAAAGGTCAGCTAGAGGGAGGACCTACGCTGACAACATGTTCTTCCGGGTGAAGAAGCAATCTGATGAAGTTGCACACAGCCAAGTCAGCGGTGTGAGGAACTCCACAGTCAAGCCCTGAACCAAAAGGAACTCCAAAATATGAACTGTATCATGTATTCAAAATTATACTTACCAAATAATTCTGAATGGAGGCAACGTTGACTGCTGACTTCCTCCACTGCCTCTGGTACACAAGATCCGTATCCAGGCCATAGGTATGAGCCAGAGACAAGGCCTCCTCATACTCTTCACTTTCAATCTGTAGACAAGGAAATGGAAGCAGGAATGGTCATGAGGTCACTGTAACGAAACAACAATGACAGTCCCTTGGACATGCACAGCACATTATGAATTCACGTGCACATTTAGAGGAGCAGATAAATCAGGCAGTTATATTAGCGTTTTTTTTATTGCAAAGTCAGATATACATAGAGGAGGAGACACAGAGAGGAAGATCTTCTGTCCACTGATTCACTCCCCAAGCAGCAGCAATGGCTGGAACTGCACTAATCAAAAACCAGGAGCCAAGAGCCTCTTTTCAGGTCTCCCATGCAGATGCAGGGTCCCAAGGATTCGCGCCATCCTTGAATGCTTTCCCAGGTCACAAATAGGGAGCTGGAGAGGAAGTAGAGCTGCCGGAATTAGTTTGAACTGGCACCCATATGGAATCCCACCACATGCAAGGTGAGGACTCTGCTAGGCTACCACACCAGGCCCCGTATTAACATTTTAACAGAAAGATGAGAGACAAACAACGAGATGGTCAGGTCTATAAAGGAGAACAGAGGCAGTATCAGGACTAGCAGGTAACAGTGGACTGTCTGTGCTGGGCTCCTGACACGACAGGAACTAGAGATAAGTCAGAACACGGTCCTCCGGGCTGCACAGTCCGCCGTCCTCCAGGCTGCACAGTCAGCCCGAGGTGGGAAGCCGTGTGCATTCCCTCCCTCACAGGTGAAGCCCAAGTACACAGCCATACGGAAACAGTCAAGGAGAGGAAGGTCATTCAAAGGACATCAAAAAAGCAAGTCAGAAAACGGAAAAATCAAGAGAAGTCAATGTACCACTTTTTTTTTTGACTGCCTTGATTTTGATTACTCCAGGATAAACAGTAGCATTATTCATGATAATGGAGATTTACGATTGAACAATTCCTCTTCAAATTTCTCCCTTCATTAAAAAATTAGCCTCTTCTCATTAAGATAACACCTGATGCCGTCCAATGCTGGAGAGGCCTCCCTCACCTTTCTCTGGTACAGCTCTTCAGGCGTGGTGGAACGCAAGCTCACAAGGCGGTAATTTTTAGTAATGGTGCGTGGGCGTTTCCGTGGCGGTGCAAAGCGCTCCATTTCGGTCACCAAGTAAAGGCCTTGCTTTATGTAGCCAAAGTAACGAGCCTTGGCAGAGATTTCATGATCAGAATCCGAATCCTCTTCTCCCTCATCCTCTTCTCCCACCCGAACCTCCAAGCGAGACCGTTTGGGGGCAAGTTTAATCTCACACTGCATCAAAGGAAAAAAAAGATGTGAAATTAATAGTGAGGAACTAAGGACAACATTTTAGAGTTAATGGAATAAATAATATTTCTGATTATACTCTGGCTTGATTCATTACATCAATGACAGAATTCACAGGAATGCAACAATTACTGTCGACAGCTCCAAAGTCATGCACATACGTTATGAAGTTTAAATCTCGAAAATTTAAACCTTTGTTAATAACAGATCCATAATACAGTCTTGTAAATACATCCTGGGTAATTTTTTCCAGAGAAAGAATGGAATTAAGAATGGTGATTTCTTTTTCTTCTGCTATTATTGTATACCGGCTATAGAAAACAAAGATGACTCTCCTAAAAACCTATTTAGGTTATGAACATGAAGGTATTTGCTTGCTTTACCGAAATAGTAGTTCTTCATCCTCTTTTAAAACTGCCTGCGTCTGAAAGTCTGGCTGTTAAAGATAACTTTCATTCCACATTTAACAGAACAGGCTTAGATTTAAGCCATAATTCTCTTTAAAGAACATCTTTTGATTCAGCAACAAACTGAAAAAAAAGAATTGTCAAACTGCTGAAATGGAATGTATTGAGGGATATTACCCTTGAAAGATCATTTTAAATGACCAAAACATAAATTTGGCCTCTATTTTCAAGTCATTGTCATAAGTTTTTCTTACTATAAGAACCAAAATTTTAAATAGCCATAGTTTAGGGAAGGGGGTGGGGCAGGGTAAAAAAAAAACTTTCCTATCAATGAACAGTAAATGCTTCACAGCAAAAGACCCAGAATTTGTTCGTTCTCTTCCAATGCCATTTTCAAACTCACTGCACATTGGCTTTTTACATTATATTCAATGTCTGGTGTCTCCATTCACAGATTTTTATTTTTAGAGAAAAGATTATATCACTGGGCAGCTGAAAATGAATGCCAGATATTTAATTTTTGGATGAAATACACATCTACTCTCAACCAAAGAAAAAGCCTTGCCTCCAAACTTAAGAAGCCCCCATCGTGCGTAGCAGTGACTTGAGGTGACGGTTCAAACCATTCACAGGATTTTCCCAGCAAGTTCTTCAAAGTTTTCACAGATGAAACAGTCAAGGCACCAGAGCATCGAGCCAAGGTGACGGCGCCATCTGCCCACCAGCTGACATCTATCAGCGGGTAAAAGGACTCTTTATCTAGTGAGAGAAGGTGAGTCAAAGCACACGCATCCATGAATGCACTTGAAAGACAACACATTAAAAGCAATCAATACAAAAACCAAACTCATTCATGTGTTTGCGGCCTAAGGTTCAAGCAGTAAGAAAAAAAACCTGAGTATTTCCTCTAACTGTTACTATTTTTGTCTACGTACTGCATTATGAGTCACGAAACAGTATAATAGTTCATTTAATGCACACCTGAGAACCAACAACTGTCAGTCAAATTTCAAAGTTCCAACAATAGAGGTAAATAAATTAAGGCTGTTTTCAAAAAAATAGGAATATGCTCAGCAGAGACATTCACAATGTTTTCAACACAATAAATTAGAAAGTAAGTGTATAAAAGCTGTACAAATAAAAAGATCATAAAAGGTTTTAAAAAATAAGCACTGCAGCACTTTCAATTAACTCTACCCTTGTAATAATGTAAGACATGCACACAGTATTTTCCAGCATTGATTTCAGGATAGAAGGAATATCAAGAGGTATTCACAGTATTTACCGTAATTTTATCACACTACTTCAATCTCACCAACTCCACCAAAGATTTAATATGGTGGAAAGGTAATAAATAGAACTTTAAGCCACA